AGAATTCTTTCTCCCTCACTATGCTATTGTTATATTAAGACTTCAGGTTTGGAGTTTTACCATTAACGAATGGAGTTATGATGAGATATTAATCTATCACTGGTAGAATACTGACTACTTTTATCATAGTCACAAGCTCAAACTTAATAATTGTCTTTGGTTGTCTTGTAAATAATCATTTAAAAGTGCATTCTCAATATTCTGAAAACATTTCTGATATATACATGTATATACATATATATGTATGTATATAAATATATATATATATGGTTTTTTAAACACCAAATCATTTTTCAGTTCCAAAGCTCTTGCTGTGACTCAAATGTATGAGTCTACTTCAGCTACCCATAGTGTTTACATGTGTCACTTGTATCCTATTCTCATCGGGGATTTCATCATGAAAGAACTTTGGATTTTGTCAAAGGTCATTTTTATGTATTTAGATTATCATGCATTTGTTTCCTTATGTTTGTTTATATGATGTATTATATTTATTGAATTTTGTATAGTGAAGCATCCTCAAATATTTAGAATGAAGCTTACTTGTTCATTGAAATGAAAATGAGGTATTGTTGAAAAGATGGTTTTAGTGTAGATATGAAGGAGACAGTTAGAGGCATCTGAAAGTGTCCAGACTGAACTAGCAGAATGAAGTACACGGTGAGGGAGGAGGAAAAGGAAGAAGGAGGAGAGAGGGCAAATGGACAAAGAGAAGTCCAGGAGTGGAGTTCAGAGCAGAACCAAGAGAATGTATAGCCAAAATGGCTGAGATATGTAGGAAAGAAAAATTGAGGGAAGGGAAGGGAAGCTTAGGGGCTGGAGTGATTTAAGTTAGAGGGAGAGTATGTCAGTTAGACTGATTCTGTAACTGGTACTTGTAAGTAGGGATTGAGGAAGCCTAGATGCTGGCATCAACTTGATATGTTAATTGGCATCACAGGAATAGGTTAATGGAAGAGCTATAAGCCCCTTTTTCCAGAGATAATGAGAATAACTCAATTTAGCAAGTAGGAACTAACTTTTTAAGTTCCCAAAGGAATACTGGCTTTTATCTGAATGCTGGACTTGGAAAAAGGAATTTTCTGGGATCAACAATTCCAGCCTTTTTGCTGATGATAAGGAGTGACGTAATCTCTTCTCTAACTGCTTCTGAGCTGAAATTGTATCATTCAGTGTCAGAAGTGGGGGGGGCAGAAAGGCTGGAATGATGGTCAAATAATGGGAAGAGAGAGAGGGGTACAGGCTTTGAGACATCTGTTTCTCTTGCTGCCCAGGTTCTGTGGGACCTCCTGAGAATGTGAAGTGCAGATCGTTTTGGAGCAGTCTGTGATACAGGGGCTCAGGCAGGTTGGAAATTCCATCTGAAGCACCTGGGGCTGGTCTGTTTGGAACAGTTTGCCAAATTCAGTTGATTGGAAATCTTCTTGGACAAGTAGACTAGAGAAAGATTAAGTTAAGGAGCTTAGGGAATTTTTTTATCATGGATATACATTTATAACTTTCAAACCCATGGTCGTGTTAGTTGTGGAGGGGCACATCTCAAGACCAGGGAAATGGGGAGTCCATCCCTAGGGATAAGTAGTAGAGGGAGAAGCTTAACCTGTGTTGATTGACAACAGTACTTACGTGGAGTCCCTTTGACCCCTTACAACTGGATACAGTCATTACTTCTAAAACTTTCAGTAATTGTTTGATTTTACAAAAAAGAGATAAATTTTAGCATTGCTATTAGCATTACCAGTTTTTGTACCAAAATCCATATTGTAGAAATAGCAGTAGACTCACACATTTGAGTCTTAGCAAAAGCTTGAAGACCCCAAAAATGATTCTGGTTTAAAAGAATGAAGACTCTTTTCAGAGGGTTAATAGGTAGATTGTACAAAGATGTTTTAGCATGATTGAGGATCACTCTTAAGTCTCTACTTAGAAGACAGCAAAGGAAAATTGGAAGTTTTGAGCTGTGGCTATGATAATAGGAGTCAGTGCTTTACTAGGCCTATATCCTGTCTAGCTTAGCTTTTGGTCCTGATAGTGTTGTTAGATGTGGGTTTCATCTTGTGTAGCTAACTTTAGATCCAGTCAGTAGTTAGGCCCTTGGGAATAACCTGACACCATTATCTTGCTTAAAAGACATAGTATCAAATCAATTTACAATGGATTATAATTATACCATAGATTAGTTCATCTTCCAACCTTTATTAGAACAGCTTCGTTTTGCTGTAGATGGAGAATAACACACAACTTGACAATGTGCAGAGAATTACAGACTGTGGAATTGTTATCTCTAAACAGGACATCTTTATCACATTCACTTCTCTCCCAGCTCAGAATCATTTTGAAGAGCAGAAAGACAGATGGTAAAAACTAGAGGTGTTGGATGACTGCAAAGAAATATTGTTTTCATGACACAACAGAATGGTTGCAGATATGAACTCGTGGTATATGTAAGAATCTACAAGCTCAAACCAGACAAAATCCTATCATGGAGAGAATTGGGAATGAAGTCCAGCCCTAGCTGGGGTGTAATTGGCAATTGATGTCTGCAAGAGGAGGAAAGTCAATTATCTTTAAGAGTGTGGCCCCAGGAGGCTACCCATGCAAATATTGATGGATACATACTTAAGCATATACAGACAGTCCAAGTTAGATCTGCCAAAAAAAGGACATAGTGTTGCGTGGGTAGGAGATGGAGCTATAGGACTGAAAGAAGTTGTGGGGAGGATGTGAATGTGATCAAAATACATTGTATAAGATTCTGAAAGACACATTTAATATTATACAAGAGAGAAATGCAATAAAATCCCCTGCCTATATATACTGGAATAAATAAGATATTAGGGCAAAAGGAGGAACAAGAAAGCTAATAACTAAACTTGAGATGATGGTCACATTGGTCTTGCTGATTGCTATTACTATGTTAAGTTTTACAAAACAACTAGTTACCCTATGAAAATAATTTCTTACCAAGCTGTCTCTTCAGAGCACCCTTAATCTCATTATTCCTGAGGCTGTAGATGAGGGGGTTCAACATGGGGATCACCACCATGTAGAACACAGACACCACCTTGTTCTGGTCTGTGGAGTAGCTGGATTTGGGCATCACATAAATGAACGTGATGGTGCCATAGTAGAGAGTGACTGCAGTGAGGTGGGAGGTGCAGGTGGAGAAGGCTTTCTGGCGACCCTCAGAGGAGTGCATCTTGAGGATGGTGATGAGGATGTAGGTGTAGGATATGAATATGACAAATAGTGTGGTCATAGTGACTGAGCCAGCAGAAAATGAGATAATAACTCCAGAGACACTAATATCAGAACAGGAGAGTTCCATCAAAGGAGCAAAATCACAGAAAAAGTGATTGACTATATTTGGTCCACAGAAAAGAAAAGAAAAAAATGAAAGGGCATATGACACAGTGTTAAGAAAACACCCTATATAAGATCCCAGAACCAACTGGACACAGACTTGTGTAGACATTTTAGTTGAATAAAGCAGTGGGTTGCAAATTGCCATAAAGCGATCATAAGCCATGACAGCTAGAAGGAAGCATTCAGCTGTTCCAAAGAAAGCAGCTGAGCTGAGCTGGATTCCACATCCAAGGTAGGAGATGGAACTTTGATTTGCCAGGAAGTTTACAAGCATATTGGGTGTGACAGAAGATGAGATGCCTATGTCAATAGAAGCCAAATGACTGAGAAAAAAGTACATGGGATGATGGAGTTGGGAAGAAACTCTAATGAGAAGGATGGTGCTGAGGTTCCCAGACACAGTCACCAGGTAGATGCACAGCGTGACAGTGAAGAGAATGACTCTAAGGACTGGGTCATCAGTTAAGCCTGATAAAATGAACTCTGTCACTTCAGTATGGTTCCTATCCTCCAGGAAAGCCATGGGGTGATGTAGCTCCTCCCAAAACAAGGCTGTGATAGAGATTACAGGAAAAGATTTATAAATAGGTCACTCCATTTCATTTAATACAGACATGCTTAGAAATACAAACTAATATACTATTCAAAAACTAGGACCAATGGTAGATATTTTAATCAGGGATTTCATTGTTTTCACCTTTCTGTGCAGTAAGTTCTCAAAGAATTTAATCACAAATGCTAGAGATGTAGTATTAATAACAAATAAATTATATTTGCATTTATTTACAGTAAAATGTTCCTAATTGTCATTAAATACAAAGATTTAAAATCATGAGATAGCCTGGTGAGGTTGCTTGGCAGGTAAATGTGCTTATTACCAAGGCTGACACATGATGGCACATGATGGCAAGGCTGACACATGATGACACATGATGTTTCCTGGAGTTCTCATGGTGGAAGGAGAGAACCAAATCTGAAAAAGTAACGAGCCTTTTACAAATATCAATGCATTTATTGTAAGTATCACAAGGATTAAAATGTAAAATCATAGGATTAAATAATGAAGACTTAAATCATTGCTAAATTTATTTAATACTTACTAAATCACCTGCAGATGACTTTTAAAAAATGCATTTCTGTTTTTATTGTCATTAAATAGTATTAAGTTCTTTTATAATTTCTATTTTATAGAAGAAACACACACACATATATGCATGTTTTTAAAACCATATAGATGAAGTAACAGAATTATGGGGCTCAAGAGACGTCTCTGTGTCTAATTGCACTGGCTACACTTGCAGATGACCTGGGTTTCTCACAGCAGTATGTTTTTATAGCTCTGAAGACCCAATGCCTCTTCTGGTCCTCACAGGCATGAGGCACACACATGGCATATATATCTATAGGCAGGCAGCACTCATATACACAAAATAAAAATAACATATTTTAAAAGACTATTAGATATGGAAACCAGGCAGGTTGAGCTCAATCTGTTATTTTTAGTAGCCAGAGTATAAATAAATGGTGACAGTTCCCTTCAGAGCATACACACATTATGGACGGACAGACAGACAGATAGCATTTCAGTTTTTCTTTTTTCTTTATCTGCTTTGTTTTCTTTTTCCTTTTGCTCATGTCAGATGGATAATGTGCCCAAGTCCTAACAAAGTTTTGTAAGTGTCACATGTCATTTATTTTCATGAATCCCAAATCATCAGGCTTGTGAACCAAAAAAAGGATCAGTAACTTCAGCTTTCTTATGATTAGTACATAGAAAAGTTTTTTGTAGATGACATTGATATCAAAGTCTGTAAAATTAAATAAAAATCACACAAAATTTACAAATGAAACTTCCTGTGTTAAGCTCCTTAAATACTTTATTAAGTACTTCTAAATAGATCAATGCTCTTTAACATAATTAGAAATATCAATTTTACCATTATGTAAAATATGAATAATATTTAGCACATTATTATTATTACCATTTTTTTAGGTACACCAAATCCATTCCCAATGTCACAGTATCTTCTAACTGGAATATGGTAAATAAATTCATGTTTTTAACACAGAACACTTGTCAATAAACATTCATACTAAGAAGTTAAGATCTTTATCAAGGCTTACCCAATAAGGGACAGATTGATTTCCATCCCTCACATTCTATAGTTACATCCTCATTTGTCCAGAGTGATGCCTATGATGCTGGAACATTCAGTCCCGAAAACAAATAGTTCTTTGCAAATGATATTTGTCACCAAAGTATTTAAATTTGACTGAATGTTACATGTGTACATTTATGAAATTCATGCTGATTTCTGTCTCACTAGTTGGTGGAGAAATAACAAGTCTTTGAAGATTTATTTTATGCTGATCATTCTGAATAAGTTACTTATGGAAATATAAGGTGATTCTATGAAAGTTTAGGGTTTTATTAAGTCTGTTGCATAATTGCTTGATTTCATCTGAATTATTTCTCCACCATGGTCTATAGACATAGTGCTTTAAAGAATAAAGTATCACCATTACCAACAAAGTCACAAACTTGCCTCTTAGAATAAGAATTCATTTCAAAGTAAGAAGTTCAATGCTATTATGATTTTATAATTGCAAACCTATCTACACTGTCGCTGTCACTGAGGATAAATCCCCAGTGATGATCTGGATTCCAGTGTGACTTCAAATCACCAGGAATCATTACCTCATTCCCAGTGAGTGCTGAGCAGTTCATTTGTTACAAACACAATTAATTTTAAAGTACTCTGTCAACCTCAAGTGATATCTTGTTTTCCTCTTTACATGAGTATTGATGTCCTTTCACTTGATAATCATGGCAGCTAATGATAACATTATCTTAGGCAATATTTGTGTCTGCTGGTAATTGTTTCAGTTTTGGTCAAGTTAGAAGATAGTAAACCAATCATTAAAATGGAATACTGTGGTTGCTTTACTTCAATGCGCTTCATTTTTTCTTTTTATATTTTATTGGTTGATGTTACATACCCTATTAAGTATTTTTGTGACTGTAGGAAAGGATGAGAGGTTATGTTGAATAACAGTTCCGGCACACATTTTCATAGGCAAGAGTATAAAATATTTTTAAATAGAAAGACATATGAATGATTTCCAGGTAAGAGTAACCATTTCACTGTTCATACCCCAAACAAGTGACAGTTTGTGCCAGCTTATGTGACGTAATATAGAACAAAAAGCACAGTTGCCTTGACAGGTCAGCTCAACTCTTGCGAATCTTAATTCCATTAAGTTTAAAATCCATTTAATCTTCCTAGATGATACTATTTCTGTATTCACAGCATATATTTGTGTTTAAGATTTGTTACCTTTTTATTTGTAACAGAGAATCTTAAATCACGTATGAATTGCCTGTGCAATAACAAGCCACATTTTGAACAGCATACTTTCAGGTCTTCACTCTAATATGTTCCTTATGTTTTTCTTGACAGAGAGATAACCTTTATTGATGAACTTATTTGGAAGGAATAAAGGGGAGGAATACAATTAGAATGATTTTTAGAAATTCTTAAAACTTACCATCATTTTTTTGTGTCAGTGCAAACAAAAAGTAATTAAAAGTTCACATATTTATATGAACACAAGTACCTGCAATTTTCTCAGTCATGATGAATATCAATGGAATATTAACAAGCAGATCAGGTACTCAACAAGGGTTATATGCCACATGTCACATTTTAATCAACATAGTCTTTCTCTACAGTGACAACTGCTTGCTATTTGTCCTTACTGCTAAGGTGCATACAGTGACAGCTAATAGTTTCCTTTATCATGTAATTATTTCTTTGTGGGGAATGGCAAACCACTTTTCTCCAGTGGGGTGGACTGGATGTATCAACCATACTTCAGGGCAGTCAAAATGCCAACCAACAAGAAAAAGACTTATTTTGCTTTTCTATTTTTTGCTTGATTTGATTTGTTTTTAGAAATAAACAGGGGACATGAAAATGGGTGATTTTGGAAGTGGAGAGGATCTGAAAGGAGTCGGTAAAAGAACACAATTTCAGTGTTTGTGCTACTGGAGTTATGTTGAGGAATCGGTTTCTTGTACCAATTCATTCAAGGGTACCTCCCACTTTCTATTCTAAGAGGTTCAGTGTGGCTGGATTTATGTTGAGGTCTTTGATCCATTTGGACTTAAGTTTTGTGCATGGCAATAGACATGGATCTATCTACAGACACTGAGGTCGACAATTAATAAATGGGACCTCCTGAAACTGAGAAGCTTCTGTAAGGCAAAGGACACAGTCAAGAAGACAAAAAGGTGGCCCACAGAATTTGAAAAGATATTCACTAACCTCACATCAGACACACAGCTGATCTCCAAAATTTACAAAGAACTCATGAAGCAAGTCTCCAAAACACCAAAGTATCCAATTAAAAAGTTGGGTACAGAACTAAATAGAGAATTCTCAATAGAGGAATCTAAAATGGCTGAGAGACACTTAAGAAAGTGCTCAATATCCTTAGCAATTAGGGAAATACAAATAAAAACAACTCAGATATCATCTTACTCCTGTCAGAATGATTAAAATAAAAGAACGCCAATGACAGCTTATACTAGAGAAGATGTGGAGAAAGGGGAACACTTATCCATTGCTGGTGGGAGTGCAAGCTTGTACAGCCACTTTGGAAATCAGTATGGAGATTCCTCAGGAAAATGGGACTCAGTCTACCACAGGACCCAGAAATTCCACTCTTAGGTATATACCCAAAAGATGCCCATTCATACAATAAGGATGTCTGTTCAACTATATTCATAGAAGCATTATTTTTAATAGCCAGAACCTGGAAGCAACCTAGATGCCCCACAACTGAGGAGTAGATAAAGAAAATATGGTACAGTTACACAATGGAGTACTACTCAGTGGGAAAAAACAGTGGAATCTTGAAATTTGCTGGCAAATGGATGACACTAGAAGAAACTATCCTGATTGAGGTAATCCAGTCACAAAAAGAGAAACATGGTTTGTACTCATTCATATATGTATTTTAGACATGGAGCAGGGGAGTGCCAGCCTACAATCCCATTTCCAGTGAATCTGGGAATCAGGGAGGTTCTCAAGATAGATATGCATGATATACCAGAAAAGGGGAATGAGGCAAGATCTCCTGAGCAGATTGGGAGCATGGGGAAAAAAGAGGGGGGGAGGGGAGAGTAAGACATGGGGAGAGCAGGATGAGAAATACCATAATAGAGGGAGTCATTATAGGTTTGGGGAGAGGGCTGACACTAGTGAGATTTCCAGAGATCTACAATGATGTCACCAACTGTCAAACTAAACAACAGTGGAGAGACTAGCTTAATAGCCCATCCCTGATAATGTGATTGAGGACTACCTTACATGCCATCCTAGAACCTTCATCCAGTGACTGATGGAAGCAGAGGCAGATACCCACAGCTAAACACTGAACTCCTGGAACCCTAGAACAGAGAGGAAGGAGTGATGAGAAAAGGGGTCAAGATCATGTTGGTGAAATCCACAGACAGCTGACCTGACAAGGGGGGAGCTCTTGGACCCCAGACTGAGGGCTGAGAGACCAGCAGGGGACTAATACAGACCCCCCTGAATGTAGTGCCAGTGAGGAGGCCTTGGCAATTTCTGGGGCCTTGGGTTGTAGAACAGTGTTTACCATGGTGTAAGAATGAACTTTGGGAGCCCATTCCACATGGAGGGATGCTCTCTCAGCCTGGACACATGGGTGAGGACCTAGGTTCTGCCATGGATGAAATGACAGATTCTGGAGTTCCCTAAGGAGGGCCTCACCCTCCCTGGAGAATGATGTAAGAATTGGGTGGGGGGTTGGGGGGCTGGGGGAACGGTGAAGGGACAAGAGAGGAGGGGTGGGAGAGGGAGCTGGGAATGACATGTGAAGCAAGCATGTTTATAATTTAAATAAAGAAAGTATGTTGGAAAAAAGAACACAATGAAAATACATTGGATGGATTTTTTAAATTATTGTTAAAAATTGAGATAAAGTAAAATACAATTAAAGATAAAAGTAAAAGAAAACAGGAGGAAAGACAAAATATTACCAAATATTTTTAATGTATATATAAGTTACATGCAAATGTGAATCAAATAGGTGGGATGGGGAAGAAGAGCAAAAAGACAGCTTTGGAGCAGCCTCTGCTCCCTGGAAGCTGGTGGCAATGGGATGTAGGCAAATGTGTGAGCTCATCTTCCCACGGTTTCTGTTGGTGATGTCTGTATTTCCTGTTGTTTGCTGCCTACCACAGCTTTTCTCATGTCAGTAGTTTTATTCTCTGTGCACTTGGAGCCTTGTTTAGGAACATTTAGTTTTTAAATTTGTTGTCTGAGTAGGTACTTTCACCCTCCGGAGTCTCCAGGTTTCAGGATTTACTCAGTAGGATGCCTAGCATTATAACCTGACATTTCAGCTTGAGGATGCTTCTCGAGTGTGAGAAGCAAAAAAAAAAAATGGACTGAGATCTATAGAGGCGAGGACCTATCTTTAAATTACAAAATCAAGTGTTCATAGGTGTGTGGGTTAAAATTAGGGTTTTCAGTTCGGTTTCATTGGTCTACTTGTCTATTTTTGTGCCAATACCAAGCTGTTTTCAGGAATATAGCTCTATAATAGAGCTTGAAGTCAGGGATGGTGATGCTTCCTGAAGTTCCTTTATTGTATAGGGTTGTTTTGACTATCCTGGGCCTTTTGTTTTTCCACATAAAGTTGATTATTGT